GAACGCCACTTCCTCCAGTCATTTCCACCGTTGCTGCTCATCACCACTGCCACCGCTCATCATCGCCGTCGCCATGGATGGATCGACATCAGGCTACTGCCAACGTTTCTAGAGAGCTCCCACTCTCCTCCATGCCTTTTTAACTCTTCCTTCTTTCCTTACACACTTTCACATTGACTTAGAGAGAGAGAGAAATCACATCCACTGTGATGTGTGACTGTTTTAGAGAGAGAGAGAGAGAGAGAGAGAGATAGAGATTCAAGCATTCGCACTCCATTAATGCTTCTCAGCAAAAAAGCGTGACCTGTTGTTTTTCACAGAGAGTCCTGTTTCAAAATTCACCTAATCAAACGATACATTAAGCGATCGATTTCTTCTCTTTGATGGAACTTAGTCAAGTGGCGCTGGAGATCTTCTCAAAGCTTGAGCATAAGTGGCTCTCTCACTGCGATGGACGTGGATTCTCAGTAGCGATGTAGGCGTAACCACCGGTTTTCTCATTCTCGCATTGTTGCTGGAACCAGAATCGGAGCTCTCTTCGTCGCAATGCTAACTACCAACGACGGAAACGAACGTCCTCTCTTTATGGCTGCAGACGCTGTCAAATTTGTAGGGCAGATGTATCTTATAGATGAAAGAGAAAGAGTGGTGGAAGATGGAGGAAAGAGAATGAGTGGGGTATTGATGGACAACATGTGGGTTTTGTGTTTCTAATCCTTCAATTGATGTTTTTGGGTTTTTTTTTTTTTGGGTGTGTGTGTTCTATTTGTTCTTTATTTATATAGATTTCTTTTTATGTAGCTTACGGATTTGGATTTAATTTTTTAAAAAGTTTTAGGTCTGAAATAATACTTGATCTTCATAAAATGGGTTTTGATTTTAGAAATATATTTTTGTTTTCAGTTTGATTTATGAAATGGATTTAATTCTTTAATGGAAAATGAGTGTTGATTTTTTATGGTTTTGAAAAAGCTTTTGAAATGGGTGTTGATTTCTTATGATTTAACAAAATCAAATCACAAATTTAAGATAAAATAGAGTGGAAAAAAATAGAGAAAGCATGAACGAAAAAAGGGATTCATTGCCGCCTCCGCTCCGTGACTGTCCACTACTGTAACGCCCTCAAAATATGATATAAATCAACCCAAGAGATTCATAAACATATTATGAAATGTATTACTTTCATTCATCAGAGGTTATATTACAAAAGAGATTACATGCATTATACTTTCATAAATATTCATTGTGAAACTACAACATGTAACACTAATTACTAACAACAAAATAAATGCCCTATGGGCTTACATCTTTCCAAGAGATAACTTGGTTACAACAAAAAAGAGTCATAAGCTCTTTACAATTAAAGCCCTCGGCTTAAAAGAAAACATATAAACATAAAAATAACAAAAAACAGAGCCTTCAGCCCTGCCCTCCCAAGCTATGCCCTTGGAGGTGACATGTCACTTGTACCTGAAAATGGTTTCCTAAGTAGGGTGAGCCAATGCCCAGTAGAGATATACTAACGCAAAGTATGAAATTTAACTAAGATATAAGCAATAGATAAATATTCAATACTTAAAACGAACCAACATCCTCTTTTCATGACTAAACAATAACGATATCAATATCTCAAACCATTTCCATTCATTTATTCAAATAAACTCATAGATATAATCCCTTGTTATCTAAACAATCCCAAACGAGGCTACGACTCATTTATCAACACTTCAACAGCAACCATTATTCAAACACTTATTTTACAGAATTCTCATTCGAGGGAACCGGCACCCATATATATGTATAGATCAGATTTCGGGACTTTCATCTTGGACACTTCGGCCAACGTAATTTTCACTGGAGTCCATTCCCTATCTCCTCCCAAACAATGCAGTACATCCCTTATCGTCTCCCAAATAATGATACATATACAATGTATTTAAAAGCATGTCATATACAATGACTACCAAAACTCACACATTCAACAATTTAATCAAACCGTCATATTCAATGACATAATTCATATGTTTAGTTTCAATTTACCTAGTCCTCATGCAGTTTCTACAACAATCATAACTATCCTCCACCGATAGCCCAAAATAGATATTTCTAAACAGATAAACAAATCTATCGAACAGATAAATTACCAAAATTTTCATAGGTGAGTGATTTATCAAATCCAACTACACCATTCATTTACATATCCTCCCAATTTCATATTTCCCTTACCAATTGCATTATTTATACAAAATAATTATTTAACACAAATTAGGGCAATTTTTCCCATTTTCCAAATATCAATCACAAGTCTAAACTTCATCATTTTAAGCCATATAATCCCATCCTCAATACCCTACATATATTTTCATGAACCAAAATAGAAAACCCCTCTTCTAAATCTTAAGCTCAAACCCTAGTTTTACCCAAATGCTTCCAAATTCCACAATTTATACAAAATGACAAATACCTAGGTTAAAAATCATACTAAGGTGTAGAATATTCCTACCTCAAGTGTAGGAGCTCAAAGGTGAGAAGGAGAGACTTTGAAGATGCCCAAAACTCAAACTTTCTTGGATCAAATGGAAGCTCACAAGTTACTCTACCTTTTTCTCAAAGGGAGTAGAGTAGAAGCCCTTAGATTCTAGGGGATTTGTAGAGAGAAGTAGACTTTTAGAGAGAGAAGGAGTCGGATTAGGGTTTTGAGTGAAAAGAGATGCAAAAAGTGATATAAAAATGCTCTGCTGTGAACTGATATACGCAGTCCTCGCTCGAGCGAAGGAGTTGTCGCTCGAGTGACCAGACACAACAAGTGACCTCGCTCGAGCACAGAATGCAAAGCTTTAGGTCTGCCACAGACGCACACGCTCGCTCAAGCGCAAGAAATCTCGCTTGAGTGAACAAGCAAAAATTTCACATGGCTCGCTCGAGCGCAAGAAACCTCACTCGAGCAAAGCACTTTCACCTTCCCAGAAATTCTACGTCTGGGAAAGAAACCTGAGGACTCTCAATCCTCGCTCGAGAGCATAAAACCTCGCTCAAGCGAAGAAGCAAAATACCCAAGGCTCGCTCGAGCGCAAGAAGCCTCGCTCAAGCGAAGAAGCCAAAATCTGGGCAACAACAATCTAAACCAACTAACAACCAACCTGTTCCAAACTCGCCCAACCTATTCCAAAAACTCAAATACAAGGAGTCAGAGGGGAAAAACAAGGCATGGATACAATATTCAACTACAAAACCCGAGTCCGAAACACAATGAAGGTCGAGGAAAAACCAGGATCGCTATAACACCACCATGGAGAAGGAAGATCGAACAAAAGAAATAAAGAGTTTTGTTATTTGATCTCTGAGAGATGATGTAGTGTTTGTTAAGAGATGAGAGATGATGAGAGAAGGAAATGAGAAAGAGAGACGTTACAGAGAGAGAAGGAGAGAGAATACGAATGAGTAGGAAAGATGTAGAGATAGAGAGTCAGCAAGTGGGGAAGAGACAACACGTAGAAAGAGAATGAGTAGGGGAAGATGGAGATAGAATGTGTAGGAGACAAGAGGAGAGAGATAGACTAAGGGATGGTTTGTGATATTTAAATAAGTGTACTTTTTGACTTTTTATAAAAAAAAAAATGTTTAGAAAAGTAGATAATTATAGAGTGTTTTTTTTTAAAATTTAAATAAATAATTATAGAGTTTTTTTAACATATTTTTTTATTTATATTAAAAATACGCGTAGTCTCTAATTAAAAAGAGAGTGTGAGCCAGAAAAAGAGACTAATCTGAGACACAATAAATAATTGAAAAGATGAGTGTAATTAGCAACAGGAGTGTAGCCTCTAAAAAAAATAATAAAGCCACGCAGAATTATAAGGGGTGTATGGGAGGTTGGTTAATTTAGTAAGTTATTTTAATTTTTGGTTAGTTTAGTAGGTTAAAATAATTATGTTTGGCAAGATTGTTGAATTTATGTATATGAGAAAAAAAATGTAAAATAATTATGAATTTGAAATTATTTTAACTTATTTTGTCTTTTAATTTTATTTTAATCAAAAAAAATATTTAAATACATACGACTCAAAAAAATGTTTGAGGTGACATTGTTAAATACATTATATATATATATATATATATATTGATAAATACACTAAAGTTTATATATGACTCAATTCAACCACATTTTAAAATTTTAAAAATGGGTTAACACACCTTTGTTCAATATTGTAATAGTCACTATTTTAAATTCTATACTTTTTTTAGATGGTGAAATTCTATAAAAAGTTCAATAAAAATTTCAAATACAAATTAATATTTTAACTTAAACTTTTAGTAATGAATTTGATAAATTGCATTTTAATTTAAACGAACCGCCATCGTACGATACCTGCTGAAGTCAGGGCCGGCGGTGTTGTCGTAGATGGTGGCGGAAGTCTTATGTGTAGAGTTTTATACTGCAATGAAATTATTATCATCTTAAATTGATTTATTATAATTGATTTCTGTAGCACTAAAATTATTAGTATCATTTTGAATTGAAGTTTTTGTAAAAAATATGATACCAATATTAATAATTTATGTTAATTAATTTTTGTAAAATACGTGTACCAATATTATTTACACCGTGCCTTTAGATACGGGTATACACTAATTCTTTTATATTATAAACAAAATTTTTGTTATAATTTAATTTTAAAAATAATTTTTAATTATTTATTTTAATCCAACACACTATTATGCTAGTAGTATTAAAAAATAAAAAAGAGTTAAGAGACTTGCGGTCAATTATGACGACTAGAAAAAACTTCTTTTACGTAAACAGTTACATCACTAAGGATCCTCTAGAGTGAAATTTCCCTAAAGTTTCCTAGAGTACTACATTGTGTGGTTGAGATTTATTGGCAAGTCACATCAGAAAAATTGATGTGACTTGCCAGTAAATCTCAACCACACAATGTAGCACTTTAGGAAACTTTAGGAAAAAATCACTCTAGAGGATCCTTGCTCCAGTTACATAGGGGAGAGGGAATTATTTATAAATAAAAGGAAAATGAGTAAGATCTCTGTCTTGGAGAACCCATATAGCCCTAAAGTGATTCATCATTTATGATGTGTGGGTTCACTCATGTATGTGTGAGGTTCATATCATAAGTGGTGTGGATCACTTTAGGATTGTAGGGTCGTTCAAAAAGGGATTTTCTATCATTGTTGTGAATAAAACTTAGAAACTACAGAGTGAAAACAAAAAGCATGGCTTTGCAGAAGAACTCCTCCTCCCTCCTTCCCCTCCTCCTGGCGCTGCAGTTGCTGCCATGGCTGACAAAAACATCGGCGCTTTCTTATGCGAAGCCTGGTTGTCCAGAACGATGTGGAAATGTTACAATTCCATACCCTTTTGGAATAGGTCCCAATTGTTACTTAGATGAATGGTTCTCCATAGAGTGCAAGAACTCAATCAGCAGCTACTTAATAAAGCTCGATCTTGAGGTGCTGGAAATTTCATTGAATGGAAGATACCTTCGAGTCAACAATCCAGTAACATCTCCCAACTGCCACATCAACAACAACAGCAGCAACAACCGCAACCCCAACAACTCAAACTCAAATTTAAGCATTAACTTGACATCTAGCCCTTTTCGCTTCTCAGAAATAAACAACATATTTATGGCCACGGGCATAAATTGCAACCAGACGGCCAATTTAAATGGTCTGTTCGACAGTGGGATTACCGACTGCTCGTCTACTTGCGATTCTGCTAATAATAGTACTTGCACGGCTGAAATCTCCATTTTGAGTGGGTACAGGGGGGAAATCTCACCGTTCGTGACGTTTCTGCAAGGCTACAGTGTGTCTTTATATCCAGGAAACCAAACATCATGTATGAATGCTTTTGTGGTAGATAAGAATAAGAATTCCACCGACTACTACTCTGCTGTGCAAACTTATGTTCCTGCTGTTCTCAATTGGGTTTTACACAATATCACACAGCTTGGATTGGTTCCCGACAACAGCTATAAAATTAGTTACTCCTGTCTTCAGGGGTCGTTCGCTTATTCTTCCAGGTTCGCCAAGTGTGATATTGTTCAAAACCTCCAGTGCGTTTGCAATTTTCCCTTCGCTGGAAATCCTTATTTTTCCAATGGATGTGTAGGTACGTCTTATGCTCTCTCAACAACCCATCCAAATAACCAACCAACCTACCAACTAATTGGTGGTTCCAAAAAAAAAAAAAAAAAAAAAAAAAAAAAAAAACCTACCAATTAAGTGGGATATTTCTATTCCTTTATTTATTTATTTAGGAGGTAATTAATCAAATCAAATCAAACGGTATTTTTTTTGTTTGACAATGGGTAGGTTTGAAGCCATTCAATAGTGATAGTGATGTGCTGCTGGTTGGGGAAGGGACAGATGAGTAATCGAAATTTATTTTAAATATGATTTATATCATATTTAAAATTAATTTCAACTATACAATATAATTTTTTGTGCATATTGGATATATTTGATTACAAGGATTATAGTATAGGATGAAGATGGTTAATTTATAAACTCACAATCTTATGTTTGATTGTAAATTTTATTAATCTGATTATATGTACGGCGGATATTCAATCCAATAAAATTGGTAAATTTTTAATATTGTGAGGGATTGAGAATCATAATTTCAAGTATGAAAGAAAAAAAATGAATATATAATAAATGGTTATTGTGGGGGCATATTTTGTGAATAACATCACGTGACCAAGGTGACACCGAAGGGTCAAGCGAGGTGCCACGTGGTCTGATTATGCTGCCAAGATGATCTCAGCTAGGCCGAGGTTATCTGCGGAGATGCCAAAATCTAAGATATTTGGATAAGGGACAAGAGTTCTAAAACAGGAGAGGGTCTAAGTCAGGATAAGGATATGGCTCATGAAGAATTTATCCCTATTTAGCCGAGAGTCCAAGATGAGTATTGAGTACGAGTCCATTGAAGTGAGGCTTCTAAAGGGATCAGGCCACTGTTGGTTATAAAAGAAAGGCACCCTCGCGGGTCTGAGGTAAGTTCTTTCTGGTGAATTTAAGCACTATTTGCCATCTTTGAGAGATATTGTTTACTGACTTGATCGTCAGAGTACCCCCGGGTGGACAAACCACCGCCAGATTATCATCTTCTTGTGCAGGTTGTTGGGCTTAATCTATTCTGCCGGTGCTTTTCAGCTAAGTTCCCCATTTGGTTGTGTGGTTGAAAATCAACACCCACAATTTGGCACCGTCTATGGAAACTTAAGGAGAATAGATGGCCAACAATGTGTAGGAAGAAAAGATTGGGGACAGCATCCGCAATGAGAGTTGTGAACATGCAGATCCTAACATTAGGGAGGAAAAACGTAATGAAGGAGCACATGATTCGAATCCTGGGAAGAAGGACGTCGGCAAAGAGGGTAACGCCCCAAAGAAAGCTGGCTGAGATGAATATTACAATAAGAACAACCTCCAAGTATGGAAGAATAGATGCCTAATGAGGGACAGCGAGATGAAAGGGATAGCAAACAAGTTGGCAGACCTACAGTCAGTTGTCAACTTCATGATGCAAAACAACGTGATGCAACCACCATTTCCGTTGCAGGACACACCGGTACCAGTGGCCAAGACTGATGCCCAGAAGAAGGAGTAGAAAACAATCCCAGTAGTCTCGCAGCATGGCAGGGGAAAGGAGCGCTCACATTGGCCGTCATGAGATGTCGAGCGCATTGAGTCAGTAAGAGGTGAGTCGCAGAAGATGCCTCGTACCAAGGGAACTTATGTCAAAGAACCTTGGCATATCCAGGGAAAGGGCCTGTGTTTTGACATAGTGAATGAAGAGAAGTCCAAGAGGACATACAATGACACCGGGAGCAGGGCACCAAAAAGGTTGAAACCAGTTGATAGCCGAGCTCCCGGTCGAACAAAAGAGGACTTGAGAGACTACCTCTAGAGGAAGTGGCTCAACGCTGTGATTATGTCCTCTATCAAGCTGAGGATACCGTTTTCAGTGGAGTTAGATACGTTCGAGGCCCCAAAGAGGTTTCACATGCCGAGGTTCTAGATTTATGACGATAAGTCTGATTCGAACTTTCATGCCAGCTTATATTTAAATTCTATGGCTTTGTATAGCGGGAATGAGCAGTTGTTGTGCAAGTTGTTCCCTTCATCCTTTGGGGAGATCGCATCGAATTCGTTCCACAAGTTGCTGAAAGGAATTGTGAAGAGTTGGGAAGGCCTGGCCGAGATGTTTGTGGTCAGGTTTGTTAGAAACAAGTTGCAGCCACTAAGGGTAGACTTCTTGCTGGCTTTGAATATTAGCAATGGTGAAAGCCTCAGGGATTATGCCAAGAGATACTATGAGGTGTTCAATCAAATTCTGGATTGCAACCAGGAGCTGGCGGTCATGTCTTTCAAGAACGGCCTAGATGATGAATGCCTGCTTCAGAAATCGCTTGTAAAAACTATACCAAAAAGTATGGAGAAGCTCATAGCACAGATTGAAAAGTATGCCAGAGTAGAAGAGGACACACAATGAACAAAGACACCAAAGAAGGAGAAGAGAAACGGCTCGCCGAAGTGAGCCCGAGGAAATTCCGGTGTAAACAGGCAAGAGACAGGGTTAAGGGGTGCACAAGTAGTTATCACTATATTTAGGATCTCGATTTACAAAGTTCTGGAAAGGATCAGGAACCAGCCGTATTATAGAGCACCGGAGAAGAACCAGGGCGAGTTCATGGGAAGGAGCATTGGAAATCACTGTGCTTACTATAATGAGGATAGGAACTTAACTCAGGGGTGCAGGGCTCTAAAATAGCACTTAGAGGATTTGGTCAGACAGGGCCACTTGAGAGACCTAGTGGATGATGCCAGGACAAGGGAAGAGCATGCAAGGCTTTCCCAGGCACCAGCAGCATCTCCTCCACCACTGACACAGTAGCAAGTAGGTGGACCTCGGGTGATCAATTTGATTCACACGAAGGTCAATGAAAATGATGTACGAGGGGAGACCAGAGGGTAAGGCACCTGCAGCATGTGTATCAGGTCCAGTAAAAGAAGGCTAGGACTAGGGGTGTGCGCGGTGCGGGTCGGTGCGGTTTGAGAGAAAAATAGAAACTGTATGGCGGGTGGCGGATTGATAAAAGTGTCACTAGAATTTGCCATTTTTCTTATCAAAAACCGGCGGTTCGGTTGGCAAATAATGGCGGAATTGCCTTGGTGGTTGGGGCGGATTGGCTGTTTATAAAAAATATAATTCAAATTACAAAACTTAAATCAAAGAGTAAAAAAAAGACAAGAGATACCGTGATGTTAAGCATCTTGCGAAGCTTTCTTCTGATGCAGCAAGTGTAGCAACAACATGATAATATCAACGACTATGCCATCAGTTCATTACAAGCATCTGTGGAAGCTACAATGATCAAATACCACACCTGATATTTGTACCCGAGTCTATGTAACATAGGTTACATTTTATATATTAAGTTTTAGTTCTACTAACTTAAACCCTTTTAACTCAAGTCAAGGTTTTAAATAACGGCGGCGATTACCGTAACGGTAGCGGTAATGCTGATGCGATTGTGGGATGTAATGGCCATAGCGTAACGGTGGCGACAACCGGAGCAGTGCATTTTTTTAATTCTTTGCACAACTTCAGAAAAATATACCGACACGTAGGGGTGTGTGCGTTGCGGGTCGGTGCGGTTTGGAAGAAAAATAGAAACCGGCGGATTGATAAAAGTGTCACTAGAATTTGCCATTTTTCTTACCAAAAATCGGCAGTTCGATTGGCAAATAATAACAAATTTGCCTTGGCAGTGCGGTTTGGTGCGGTTTTGGCGGTTTCGACGGTTTCGGCTGTATTATGCACATCCCTAGCTAGGACAAACGAATACCAGGGACCAATGGTTTTTTTTACTAAGGTAGACATGGACATGGTGCAATATCCACACAACGATGCCCTTGTGGTAATCCTGAAGATTCGTGAATGCCAGGTATGGCGCATACTGATCGACCAAGGCAGCTTTTGTGACATTATGTACGTCAGATGTTATAAGGAGCTTGGCCTTCACCCAGATGACCTGGAGCAGTTTGACAGCCCCATGGTCGGGTTCAATAGGACGCCGACGTGGCCTCTAGGAGCTATGAATTTGGAGGTGCAGGCAAGCATAAAAGAAGGTAAGTACAAAATTTACAGTGATTGATATCCCCTTCCCTTACAATGTTATTTTGGGAAGACCATGGTTGCACGCAATGAGGGCTGTTCCCTCAACACTACACCAGCTATTGCGATTCCCAACTGAACAGGGGATTGAAGAAGTCAGAGGGGATCAGGTGCAGGTAAAAAATTACTTCATGGCAGCAATGAAGTCCACTTGCAACATCCAAGAAGTAGAGACAGTGGAAATTGAAGACGAGAATAGAAAGGTCCTTGATGATGTCAGAAAAGAACCAGCCGACAAGAGTGAGAAAGCTTTGAAGAAGATTCTGGTCCAAGAAGGTGATGAAGAGTGTTTCTTTCTTCTCGGCTCAGGTTTAGGCGAAGAGGAGGAAAAGGAGTTAGAGATTTTCTTGAGAGCAAACATAGAAGTATTTGCCTGGACGTCCTATAAGATGCCTAGCATTGATCTCGAGGTCACTTGTCATAGGCTTAATGTAGACAAGTCAGCTAAACCTTTCATCCAGCATGCAAGAAGGCCGACATTGATACATGTGGAGGCAGTGGATGAAGAAGTGGATAAGCTACTGGAAGCCCAGGCCATTCGGGAGGTGAACTACCCTACCTGGCTGTCCAACATAGTGGTAGTGAAAAAGAAGAATAGCAAATAAAGGGTCTGCGTAGACTTCACCAGCCTGAATAAGGCTTGCCCCAAAGACAGCTTCCCTCTATCTAAGATCGATCAGCTGGTGGATGCCACATTAGGGCATGGAAGGATAAGCTTCCTGGATGCCTACAGGGGATACCACCAGATAGTAATATATTCTCCTGACAAAGAGAAGACGACATTCATCACTCCAAAAGGGTTGTACTGCTACCGGGTAATGCCTTTTGGGTTGAAGAATGCAGGAGTAACCTACCAGAGATTAGTGGCCAAGATGTTCAAGCACCTGATTGGGAGGACAATAGAGGTTTACATAGATGACATG